AGCACTCTCCAGATGTGAGTACATTCCAGTCACTTACAGCCCTAAATAGGTTAGGTCCTGTCTCATTATATTTCCAAGTACAATTGGTTTTTGGACAAGCTCTTAAGTGCTTTCTCTTATCTACCTACTGTGCTCGCTGGTAAAATGACTCAAAGACTCCACATTAGTTCCCTCTGCAGGCTTATAGGCCTGGTAGGCTCTTTGCTCTTCCCTTTTGTTACCTTAGGGTATTCCTAAATACCAACCACTTTTGCTCAGCTACAGCATTGTCTTTTGGCTAGTCAAGACCCAGAGCCCTTCTCCACACTCAAAATGCACTCCATGCTTTCTTGGTCTTTGCTACCAAGGAGGAAAGCCTTGAGAATCCCCATGGTCTAATAGGAATACCAGCACAATACAGCAGCTGTAATCATGTGGGACCAGACCAGAGACTTCACAGAATCTCACAGCTGGGAGAGACCTCAGTCAACTGACTCATCTACTACCTGAACAGGAATCCCCATTACAAACATGGTCTCATCTTCATTATCTTTTAAATCCAGTAATTCCTGACAGATAGGGTTTTTAAAAGAGCAGAAAATTCATCTCAGTAAAACTTTTTTAAACTTCTTTATATGCAGAGCACTATGTTTAGCAGTGCATTGAAATGAAAAGTCTGATGCAACTCAAGCTCTGCACTCAGGGAGCTCATCATTTAAGGGAGGGAAGAAGAAGTACAAAAATGTGGACCTTAGAGATGATCTCATACAGGGCAGGCAAGGCATAGCCCAAGGCCATTGATGGAAATTTTATATTTCAGTACAATACCTCTAATCTAATACAAACTTCTTGTTTTACAGAAAAGGAAACTGAGGCCCAAAGAGGGCTAGTGGCTTGCCTAAGGTCACAATCTTCTATTCGTGATTGAGAAACAACGTGGTAGAGTAGAATGAGTGTTGTCTTTGTAGTCAGGAGAGACCTGGCTTCAAATCCTGACTCGGACACAGTAGCTATATGATCATGGGCAAATTGCTTAATTTCCCTGGGTTTCAGTTTCCTCATCTGCAAAATCAGGATAATATTTGCTCTATAGAAACAGTGTGGTGTAGGGGATAGGAAACTGTCTCAGAGCCAGAAAGACCAAGTACCAGGCCTAGAGTCATTAAGACCCAAATTCAAAACCAGCCTTATATACTTACTAGCTGTATGACCCTGGATGAGTCACACAAATTTCTGTTTACCTCAGTTTCCTCATATGTAAAATGGGGGAAACAATTTAGTTACCTGCTGGCTAAATTTTTGTGCTAATAAATGTACTCTTGCAAGACAATCCCTAGTCTTTCTGACTAAGGGTCTCCCGAAATCTCTAGAGGGGTTGGAGAGCAAGGCTGAAGATAATGTCTTGGTAAGAATCCATAGAGGATGAACAGCAGAGGAAGAGACTGGCTGATCAGACAGGACAATCAGGAATGATGCTGAGCTAAAGACTACTTTTAAATGAAGAGAGATCTCTTTTAAATGAAAAGATACTGGGGAGCCAAGATGGAGGAGTAAAAAGGTAGTCATTCTCACCCTCCCCTATCAGCCTTTGAAAACCCAGAAAATATCACCCCAGAAAAAAAAAACCCTGGAACAGCTGAACATAGAAGAAAGATGAGGAGCAGCAATGCAATAGCCCAGCAAACAGGTCTCAGTGCCTCAGCAAAAATAAGCTAAGCAACACTACAAAGGGCCCCAGGCAGATAAGCACCTGTAGCATTCATCTGAAAGGAGCTGAAGAAAGCAACCTAAAGTCTTCCTGAAGTCCCAGTCTTGCTGATTCCAGCCCAACACCAGGTAAGCTTGTCAGAACCTCCAACTGTCAGCCAGGAAGAGATCCTGAAGCCCAGGTGGTAAAGCAGGAAAACACCAATATCTGGACCTCCAAGTGCCTCAGTGAAGGTGGGGGAACTGGTGGAAACCAGCTCAGAAAACCACCAGGTGCCTCAGTGCTCTACCCCAAAGGAATCTCCCAGTGCATTAGCAGAAATGAGGGAGACAGCACTGCAAGGTGCCTCAGGCAGATAAACACCCTGCAGTACCCATCTAGAAGGAGCTGCAGAAAGCTAAAGGAAAGGAAAAGCAGGCAACCTAGAATTGCCTGAAAGTTCCAGCCTTGCTGATTCCAGCCCAACATGAGGTAAGCTGCCAGAACTCTACAGCCTCCAATTGCCAACATAAGAGGCCCCAGCACACAAAGCCAATGACCAAGACCTAGGCTCCCAACACAAGAAGCTTGGGTCAGTGCCCCCTGTTCCCCAGCAGGAGAGCTCAATCTCTTTAAAGGCCAGGGAATAAAGAAACACCATGAGTAAAAAGAAACGTATCATAGATTCATCTTATCAGAAGAGTGAAGATCAAGACAGAAATTTTGAAGAGGACAACATTGTCAACAAACGCAGATCTACAACATCAAAAGAGAATATGAACTGGTCTGAAGCCCAAAAAGCCTTCTTAGAAGAGCTCAAGAAAGATTTTAAAAGTTAAATAAGAGAGGTAGAAGAGTCCTTAAAAAATACAATTGGCCAATTGGAAAAAAAATACACTGAAGAAAACAAATCCCTAAAAACCACAATTGGCCACCTGGAAAAAAAGTACACTGAAGAAAACAAATCCCTTAAAAATACAATTGGCCAATTGGAGAAGGAAGTACAAAACCTAACAGAAGAAAACAATCTGTTTAAAAACTATAATTGGACAAATGGAAACTAATGACTCTATAAGAGAGCAAGAATCAGTCAAACAGAAACAAAAAAAATGAAAAAAATAGATGAAAACATAAAATACCTCATCGGTAAAACAACCAACCTGGAAAATTGATTCAGGAGAGACAATTTAAAAATCATGATGAAAAAAAGAGCCTGGATAGTATTTTTCAAGAAATCATAAAGGAAAACTGCCCTGAAGTCCTAGAACCAGAGGGGAAAATAACCATAGAAAGAATACACTGCTCACCACCTGAAAGAGATCCCAAATTGGCAACACCAAGGAATATAATAGCAAAATTCCAAAATTGCCAGATCAACACCAAGGAATATAATAGCAAAATTCCAAAATTGCCAGATGAAAGAGAAGGTGCTACAAGCAGCCAGAAAGAAACAATTTAAATATCATGGAACCACAGTCAGGATTACACAGGACCTTGCAGCTTCTACATTAAAAGACCACAGGGCATGGAACATGATATTCCATAAGGCAAAGGAGCTTGGAATGCAGCCAAGGATCAACTACCCAGCAAAAATGAGCATGATTTTTCAAGGGAGGAAATGGATATTCAGTGAAATAGGGACTTCCAAGCCTTCCTGATAAAAAGACCAGAGCTCAACAAAAAAATTTGATCTTCAAGTACAAGATTCAAGAAAGACATGAAAAGGTAAATGGGACAGAAAGATACAATATGTTGTTAATAAGGATGGACTGTTTACATCCCTACAAGGGAAGATGATACTTGCAACTCTTGAGAACTGTATTGTTATTACACCATGTTAAAGGAATATACATAAAGGGGGTGGATATTAGTCAACTTTGATGTAATAATAATAATAAAAAAAACTAATCAAGTGGATTAAATGGATCCAAGTAAGTAGATTAGTCTGATCTTAGAAAATGTACTGAGAAAGGAGGAGGCAGACAAGGGTAAATTACATTACAGAAAAAGACAGAAAATCCTATTACAGCAGAGGGAAATAAGGGGAGGGGGTGAGCATTGTTTGAACCTTACTCTCATCAGATTTGGCTCAAGGATGGAATAACATAATCAGTTAAGTATAGAAATCTAACTTGCCCTATAGGCAGTAGGAGGGAAAGGGGGAAAGAAAAGGGAGGGGGGAATGGAAGGGAGGGAAGAAGCAGTAAGACTAAAGGGGAAGAAAAGGGAAAGAGGGAGGGACTGAGGGAGGCAGTGGTCAAAAGCAAAACACTAGTGAGAATTTGTACTCACAATTTCACTAATGTGAAAATATGTTTAATAGGAATGTAAATGTATAGCATATATTAGATTGTGCTCTGTCTTGGGGAGGGTGGTGGGGAGGAAGGGGGAGAAAAATTTTAAACTCAAAAGCATATGGAAGTGATTGTTGATAAATCAAAATAAATAAAATAAAATTTTAAAATAAAATAAAATAAAATAGTAAGTTAAAAAAATGAAAAGATACTTCAGTTCATAGGCTAATAGTATCATATTCTGAGAAGGTTTACTCTTGCCTCATTCAAACACCATCCTTAAAACAAATGTTCATTCTGACTGTTGTGCTATAAAAAATGATGGGCAGATTGTTCTCAGAAAAACCTGGAAAGATTTTCATAAACTGATGCAAAGTAATTAGAGCAGAACCAGGAGAACATTGTATGTAGTAACAGTAGTACTGTGTAATGATCAACTGTAAATGACTTAGCTATTCTCAGCAATACAATAATCTAAGTTCTGAAAAACTTCTGATGAAAAATGCTATCCACCTCCAGAGAAAGAATAGATGAAGTTTGAATGCAGATCAAAGTATACTTTTTCTTTACTTTATTTTTCTTGGTTTTGTTGTTGTTTGGTTTTTTTGGTCTATGTTTTCTTTCACAACTTGACTAATATGGAAATATGTTTTGTATGACTGCACATGTATAACCTATATCAAATTGCTTGCCTTCTCAATGAGGCAGGGAAGGGTAGGGAGGGAAGGAAAGAATTTAGAACTCAAAATTTTTTAAAATAAATGTTAAAAATTGTTTTTACATGTAATTGGGTAAAAAATAAAATATTAAACAAACAAAAACCAAATGTTCAATCTGAAAGACAAAAAAGTTTAGTTAGGAGTGGGAAACCTGCAGCCTTGAGGCCACGTGGGACTGGGGACAAATGTGGCCCTTTGACTGAATCAAAACTTCACAGGGCTGCACTTGAGGACCTAGAGGGCCACATGTGGCCTCAAGGCTGAAGGTTCCTCACTTCTGGTTTAGATCAATGAAATGACAGACCTTTAATCTATTGGCAGAAAGACTTTGGAGAGAGAAAGAAGCAGAGTTCTAGAAAGACTTGGAGAAGAAGCAAGGCATAATTTGAATGGCTAATGGGAGCTCCCTAAAGTTATCTACATGTGAAGAAACCCAGCCATCCAACACACCTCTTGATTCTCAATGCCTGCAACACCAGAGACTTCTAAGAACAGACTTCGTGGGTTAGATTGTTCTCTCCTTGGCTGAGCTAAGGTTTCAAGTAGATCCTGAGTTGCAAAATCCCTTGACTCTTATGTATTTGATCATTTATTTAATCTAATCTTTTAACTCTCCCAATTATGGTTGTATTACTTCCTTTGATAAACATGTTTGTTCTTTATCCATGATTGACTTTTGTGTAATAAATGACTTGGGAAGAACCAAAGCTGGGTATGAGTAAGCTAACAACTTCTGTCCCTTTGGAGCAACCAGAGAAAGTGGCTTTTTATCCTGAAATCCTCCCAAAGAGCATGGTACCCTTAGACTAAAATATCTCATGTATAATAGATATGATTCCAGGCCAATACACCTCTTGGAGATAGGAGAGTAGAGGAATAAACATCCAGCTACAACCTTGCTCCTGCTCCCCACAAAGGTATCCCTAGAGATGGAGTGGGTTTAATCCCAGATCCTATCTCTCTGTCTAAACTCATATTATAATGTCTTCCTGGATGCTGGTCCTGTTAAGACTCTGGGTGGGTGAGAGTTCACAACCCTGTAGGTTCCCAAAGTGGGTGATACCACCTCCAGGAGGATTGATCCAGGGGGGATAGTAGTAGCTTCAGGTGCAATTGGGGAGCATTGAATAAAAATAAGAAGGCAGTAGAAGCATAAGGAAAGAAGAAAAGAGAAGAAAAATTTGAAAAACCGTGCATACGTGTTTCATCTGTTGCATGACAGAGTTATAATCATAGTGATTACATTATTTTCCAAATAAATACACAAAATGCAAGTTATAACCAATCAGTGGTCAAGTCTGCCAAGGTCTTAACAAGCAACTGTTGGCAGGGAGCGTGTGGCATTGTCAGGAAGTCCAGCATACATTGGCAGGAATATGAGCATGTAATGACTTGTTTGCAATACAGTACTATACAGTTAAGATCTCTGGCAATATTGCATCATCCAAATTTCAATGCAGGAAGAACCCCACAGATTTATGATAAATTATTAAATTTAAGATGCATCATTTTTAAAAAAATATTATATATATGTATATATATATTAAAATTATGCTTTTTTGAAATGATGCAAATTTAAAAAAAACAAAATGCTAAAGGGTCAAAAAAAATAGATTTCCAGGGGAGCACTAAGTAATTTTTTACTTGAAAAGGAAGCAATAGGCCAAATAAGTTTGGGGCACCTTTGCTGTAGGCCTCCTTCTGCTTCAGTTAACCTCTCACTGATCTGGGAACCTGGCTTTATTACCATCCCTAACCAGAGTAGTACTGATAGAAGAATGAACCCCTCTGGCTCCGATTCTACAATCAGATCTTCAGTTTATCAATAGTGTGGTATGATGGAAAGAGGCCTGGGTCTAGTAGCAGGGGAACCAAGTTTGAATCTCAGCCTCTGGCTCTTATAGGCTTCACCTTGGACAAATCACTTAATCTCTCTGGTTTTTGTTTCCTCATCTATAGAATGAGGAAAATAAATCTTACACTTTCTATTCTCGGAGATGTTGCAGAGAAAGCACTTTGAAAACCGTGGAACACCTGAGAAAGAGGGGTTGGTATTATTTTTATCAATACCATTTATTGTCTTCCATATGCTAAGCATTCTAGTCAATGCTGTATTTCAGTGCTTTGAGGATCTGTGGTTTCAGTGGCACCCCTCCTCAGATGCAGAATGTGCTTCCTTGTTATCTTAACAGATCAAAAGATCACAGATTTAGATCTGGGAATCTCTCATTTTACAGATGAGGATCCTAAATACCAGAGAAGCTGCAACTTGCCCAGAATCACACAAGCAAGTACATGTCTGAGGCAGGATTTGAATCCGGGTCTTCCTCGATCCAGATCCAGCATTCTATCCACTAGGACACTCAGATTCTTGTAAAGATAGACTTTAGGAGTTTCTGTGACTGAGAAACTATGGCTTTTCCTCTGGTGATGAAAAATCCTATCATGGGCCTGAATGTGAAGTATTCCCAGTATACTAGGATGTTTCCAAGACTGGGCACCACTGGCAAAGCCTCAAAGAGCCCAGGATCACCTCGTGCCACAAAAGACAAGACATGCCATGAAAGGTAAGGACTTTAAAGGGTTAAGTGCCCTGGGAGCCTGAAAAGAAAGAGAAAGGGGAAAAAAAGCATTTTACATATTCAAGAACGTTAAGGTTTTCAAAGAATTTGATTTTCCTAAAGTGCAGGTCCAATCACATTGCTACCCTCCCACCACCACTCAGCATACTCCAGTGGCTCCCTGTTACCTCCAGGATCAAATACAAAAGACTCTATTTGGCATCCAAAGCCCTCTTACCTTTTCAGTCTTCTTACACCTCACTCCCCAAGATGTACTCTTCCATCAAGTGACACTGGCTTCCTGGATGTTCCATGAACAAGACAGTCCATCTCTTTGCTCTGAGTACTTTCTCTGGCTATCCCATATGCTTCTGCCTCCTCTGCTCTGCCTACTGATTACTCTGACTTCCTCTAAATCCCAAATAAAATGCTACCTTCTGCAGAAAGCCTTCCTTCTATTGGTTATTTCCCATTTACCCTGTTTGCCTCAGTTTCCTCATCTGTAAAATGAGCTGGAGAAGGAAATGGCAAAGCAGTCCAGTATCTTTGCCAAGAAAACCCCAAATGGAATTATATAAAGTTGAACAAGAACCGAAAACTAGAGAATAATAACAACAACTGAAATTTATCCTCTACCTAGTTTGCTTTGTATATATTTGTTTGCATGTTGTCTCCTCCCTTAGACTGTCAGCTCCTTGAGGGCAGGGACTGTCTTTTCCCTCATTTTGACTCCTCAGTGCGTAGCACATACTAGGCACTTAATAGATGTTTACTGATTGATTGACCGATTCGCAGTGGTGAGTAATACTAATAGTAACAGCTAATATTTATATGGCTCTTTAAGATTTGCAAAGTGCTTTACAAATATCTCATTTTAGCTTCACAATAAGCTGAGAGGTAGATGCTATTATCCCCATTTTATACATGAGGGAATTGAGGCAGACAGATGCTGAGTTACTTGCTCAGGATCACACAGTTGGTAAGTGCCTGAGACTGGATTTGATTTCATCTTCCTGATTTAAGGTCCAGCACTGTAGCCATTGAGACACCTACCTGTACTAGGTGGTGCATGTGTGTATGTATATGTATATGTTTGGGTATATATGTATATGTAGTGTGTGTGTGTGTGTGTGTGTGTGTGTGTGTGTGTATTCCAGTCTTGTGATTCCGTGGGTCTAGGGAAGTCCTAGTGTTGAATCTTCCTCTACCCAGGCAGGGCAGAATTTCTTTTTTAACTCCTAGCCTTAGAGAGTTAGGCACACATCCCAGGGGCACACAGCCAGGATGTAGCCAACTTCCTAACTATATTTTAGGCTATGCTGTTTTATCCTTACCCTGTGTTAGGATGCCAAGGCCCTGAGGAGCTAAGTAGCTTGGGCTAATCACAAAGCTGGTAAAAGCAGTATCAAACATTTTGAGGTCTTCAGACTCATACCTCATTTGAGCCTCATAACAGTTCTATGAGTTGACTCCATTGTTTTTGGCCAAACATATTTAGGGAACTCCTGATGAGTAGACCCTGTCTTCCACACAGATCAGCACCTTCTCTGCAACTTTGAATCTTAAAGTGTTGCTCCGAGTACTGAATGATTGATAATAACAAAATAATAACAACAACTAGCATTTACATAGCATTTACTATATGCCAGATGCTGTGCTAAGTGTTTTGTGATTATTATCTCATTTGATTCTCACAACAACCCAGTGAGGGACTTGCTGTTATTATTTCTCTAGCTTGAGCCTCAGCCCCCAGACCTGCTGGAGGTTTTGGGGACCTCCAAGTCAGAAGGACTAGGCACTAGAACATATTAGTTAAAGTAAAAATTTAGCCAGCAGGTGGTGGTGTGAGTTCATGTCTCTCTGTAAGGACTTGGCTCTTCATCCTTTGTCATATCAGCCATGATCCCCACTTAGCCTCCATCCTGGGGTTTCTGGTTTAATCATGTAGAATTATTTCTTAATCAGAAGAGTGACCACAATAAGAAGTTTTTGTCCCATATCCCTTCTTGCTGCCCTCTGCACTGCATCCCCCCCACCTTGTTTCCTTAGAAACAGGAAAAACATTGAGACGTTAGGAAAAACAGTCAGTCAAGGAGCACTTAATTAAGCATTTATTATGTGCCAAGAAAAAAATGCTAAGGTGGGGATATGAAGAAAGTGGAAAATAGTCCCCACTATCAAAAACTTTATATTCTGGACTTCCACTTGTGGGAGCCAAGATGGTGGAGGGAAAAGGTAGCCACTCTCACTCTCCCCTATCACCCTCTGAAAACCCAGAAAATATCACCCCAGAAAAAAACCCTGGAACAGATGAACTAGAAGAAAGACAGGAAGCAGCAGTGCAGCAGCCCAGCAAAAATAAGGGAAGCAGAACTACAAGGGGCCCCAGACTGATAAGTACCCTGCTGCATTCTGAAAGGAGGTGAAGAAAACAACCTAAAGGCTTCCTAAAGCCCCAGCCTTGCTACTTCCAGCCCAACACCAGGTGAGCTGTAGGAGCCCTGCAGCCTCTAGTTGTGAAGAAATCCTGAAGCACAGGTGGTAGAATAGGCAAACACCAACACTTGGACCTCCAAGTACCTCAATGAGAGCTGGGGGAACCGGTGGAAACCAGCTCAGAAAACCACCAGGTGCCTCAGTGCTCTACCCCAAAGGAATCTCCCAGTGCATTAGCAAAAATGAAGGAGACAACACTGCAAGGTGCCTCAGGCAGATATACACCCTGCAGCACCCATCTAAAAGGAGTTGAAGAAAGCTAAAGGAAAGGAAAAGCAGGCAACCTAGAATTGCCTGAAAGTTCCAGCCTTGCTGATTCCAGCCCAACATGAGGTAAGCTGCCAGAACTCTACAGCCTCCAATTGCCAACATAAGAGGCCCCAGCACACAAAGCCAGTGACCAAGACCTAGGCTCCCAACACAAGAAGCTTGGGTCAGTGCCCTCTGATCCCCAGCAGGAGAACTCAATCTCTTTAAAAGCCAGGGAATAAAGAAACACCATGAGTAAAAAGAAACATACCATAGACTCATATTATGAGAAGAGTGATGATCAA